TCAGTGTCAGACTCAGTCATTCCTTTTGCTCATTGCACTTTTGTTCTTGTATTTCTTTGCTCCATTTCAATGTCTGGATTTGAATAAAAATGACAAAACGTGGTATTTGTTATGGTTTATTTTCATCACATCAGTTATTAACCAGAGCAGAATTGAATTCTGTGCGTACGCACGTCCTATGTTTCATCCGCACGCCACTTCTGGCGCAAATCCTACGCAAGGTTTTATGAATGAGGCCCCAGGTGAGCACAAAGAAACTTTCCCCCTTCAGCAGGAGAACGTGAGGACAAACGTCGTCCTGCAGAAGGTCGGACACGGAGGGATTAATTACTAGTTAGCATACGATAACTCCTCGTTTGCATATTTCAAACAATAAAGTTCAGAAAAACACTCAATTAAAACATCTAATTGTCTCAATAAGTAATTGGGGAAGTTTCACATGTCTACAGGTCACATTTTTAACCCTTTTAACTGAGTGTCAATTGCAGTTCAGGACACTGTTCACTGCCTCCAAAAACACGCGTGTGCAACTACAACATTTAGTGCAGGTGCAGGTGATTGGACACAGGTGGAAACAATCAGACAATCACAGGGGATGACAGGACAAGGCAGGAAGTGAAGTTACCCAGGGACACAAGAAGCAGAAACTACAGAATAATACAAAAACGTTGAATTCAGGCAACAAGAGAAAGCTGCGTTTAAGTGACTGTTATCATTTTCCTTGGAGCTCGTTCCTGCGTTGTGAGGATGCGTTGCTCTGTCGACGTGTGTCGTTTCAACTGGTGCTTCATAAGATTCAATCGCTACTCGTTGGTGTGGACAGCTTCTTTGCACCTGCACATCATTTACAACTCACCACTACATTTTTGTCTTTAGATTTCAACGAGCGAACAGTCCATACTTACATCCAGGAGAGAAAGCTTATTCTATCGGCGCTGTCGGCCACGATGTGGCTTAATGCTCATTATTTATAATACGGGTGGATGAAATCCAGCGTTCTGATTGGTTGAGAGTGAGTCACGAGCGGTACATTATTGAGCGATGACATACAGTTCACGTTGACCCGAGCCTTGTCAGGGGTTTTGGACTGCAGTACCCTGAAGGACCATGTGGGGTCCTCAGTGATCCAGTTTATCCTGTCACATGTGTGTGGTCTTGATTGTTTTCATTGTGTTCACCTGTGCCTTGTTTTCTAGCCTTTAAGAGGCCACCTGAGTTTCTTTGTGTTTGCTGAGTTTTGGAACTTGCCACCTGGAGATGAGCCATGTGAGAGACTAGAGGCTCTGCCTCTGTTAATCCTTTGTGGTTTTTGAGATCTTTTGTTGCCTCTTTTTTGGGACACCCTTAGTTACCCTGTTAGTTTTCTAGAAATGCTCTTTTCAAGTAAATGGTAATGGTAAATGGCCTGTACTTGTATAGCGCTTTTCTAGTCTTCCAACCACTCAAAGCGCTTTAACACTACATGACATCATTCACCCATTCACACCCATTCATACACTGATGACAGGAGAACCATACACAGTGACACCTGCCATCAGTAACTACCATTCATACACTGTAGTCGCAGCTACAGGAGCAATGTTGGGTTAAGTGTCTTGCCCAAGGACACAACGACATGCAGGTTAGCCGGGCCTGGGATCGAACCCACAACCCTCTGATTGGAGGACGACCGTGCTCCCCACTCACCCACAGTCGCCCTAAGTAAAGAAACCTTTTTTGACTCACTACAAACAACTTGTTCTTCTCTGTCTCTGCACCTGAGTCACCATCACTCGTAGCCCAGTGGTAGGAAATCTGCCTGCTACACGGAGACCCAGGTTCGGATCCCGACGATCCTTATAGCATTCTGTATCGCTGCACACTTAAAGTAACATTTTAGCTTTTAGCTCAGTGGCGATCGCCGAAAAAAGACCGGAAATTCCACAAATGATCGTCTTCAGGTAATGCAAGCCTTCACAACCAGACAATTAAGGTGGACGTCATGAGCTATCTGAATGAATGCGATGGTGCGGGACCCGATGCCGTTTACAGCACGTACAGGGACTATTTTTTCTCTAGACTACTGAGGTGAGCTACACAACGTTTGGTGGCTACAACCACTTTGTGCTGAAAGGCAACTATTCACTAACAACAGCCAGAGTTGTTGAGACGATAAAGTACTGTTGTCTTCAAATATGAAGAAACGCCGGACGGACAGAGGTCATCGCAGATCGAAAGGTTAAAATCAAATGTATTTAATGAAAGAAAGGTGTTGTGGTAAAAAGAACATCTCAGCTGAGGATCCACTGGTCTCAGCGACCAACAGGCCCCAGGTCAGTCCTTTGACCGTCCCTAGTGCCCGTCTGTCGCCTCCACCAGCGAACTCCAGAACAATGGTTCCTACAGGTATTTATAACAATGCTTAAAGGTGTGAAAGTTAGTGTCCACTCCTCTGGGAGTGGTCTTCTGGTGAGTTTTAATGTAACTCGGATTTCCAATGACCCATATCCAATATCAGGTGTTGTTCAAGTATTAAATGCATGCATTCCAGTTGATTACATTGCATCATATACAATCATAACTGTACATTGGTATTATATTACAGTTGAAGAATTACAGTGGTTTTACAATATTGTCATTACTTTATTGATTACACCGTTTCAGAATCATGGCTATATTCTGGTGTACACTATATGCATTTTATTAATTTTAGGAACCGGGTTGTCAGTTTATTTCTAATATCCTACAGTACCTTATTTCTTTATTGACTGGTGTACCATTGCGCCATCAGGGTCCTACGATGTCAGAATATCCAAATCTCCAGGCTTGATGAATCCTAAAGAGACATCGGACCCCCTCTTTGTTGTAGTAATAGTGACAATTGTTCACTGTGAGAGACAAGGGCACCTGAGGGCGATGGCGGCGTGGGTACGAAACGACACGAGGCGGAGCGAGAGGCACCGGGCTCCCAGAGAGCCTCCCCGTACCTCGCCGAGCAGCTGAGTCTGAAATGTCCTCAGAGGACCACAAGGGGGCATCAGAGCGTCCTAGTCGGCCCCTTACGAGTCGTCTGGGACTCGGCCTGCTCGGGTTCTGTCCCAGGTCGCCTTGTCCAGGTGACCCAGGAGACCCATTATCCAAAAGCTGTGGCCCTCCCTGCAGGGGCGTGTCCAGACATTTTGACAGGGGTGGCACCAGTGGGGCACTGACGTATGCAGAGGTGGCATGAAGTGTGAGCAGGAGCGCCTGCGCAGACATATATACACACACACACACACACACACACACACACCCAGGTGTCGGCATAGCATTAATTTACCTTTTTTTTTTTTTTGTATCCACTACCCATATCTACTTCACTTACTAACACTGCAAGCAAGAACAGACCTACTAGTCACAACATTCAGGAAAAGGCAACATACAAATGTGATTGAAAACTGGTCAGGTTTGAGAAGGAACTGCAACTCTAAACAAGAGTGCAGTTTACATTCAGTGCCGTGGCCCGCCTCTGACTGGGCATATAGCCAATCAGATTTCAGGGGTGGCCCGTGCCACCCTCGGCCACTCCAGTGCCTCCCTGACTGGTTCCACTTATAAAACCCTTTATTCAATTCCTGTCAGCGAGCTACAAGATCTACAACCATCTGCTTCATCACGTGCACTAATGCACAGGTCCACTGCATTAGTGCTAAATGATTTGTTTTTGCAGTTTAGGAACTTAATTAAATGTCTACTTCTTCGAATTAAAACATGTTATCTTACATCGCAGAGTATCACACGTCTGTAGAAGCGGATAAGCCCTGGTGTGAACGTAATCATGTGACACCACACAACCAACAGCAACACGTCTTTTTTATCTGTAAAGGGGAACAGGAAAGGTTATTCTGAGAAGCCATGTGCTTCTTCTTCTCACGCTCTGACTGCAGAGTTCTCTAAAGCACAAACTATGAAAACGGTTTATTTCATTTAATCCTTTTGTTAGATTTCTTTTATTTCACCTTTTTCTTTTTTAAATCCGCGTCACATGAACCGATTCTTTTGTTAAAACATTCAGCTGTGAGGTGTTTGTTGGAGTTTGAGCCTAAAATCCAAAAGGCCGCATTAAAGTCACTGTTGATAAAATACGTCAATGTCACGACTACCAGAACAAACATGATTAAACTAGTTAATGTATGAATTGTTGATCACGGGTCATTCATCCAGGTTCATAAGAAGGCGGTTTATGTGTTTATCATCTTGCACTGGAGTTTATTAAGTGTCACCTCAAGTAGTGACATCGTCCTACACTAAGTGTCACGAGGTTTATAATTGTATTTCTATTTATCTGTGATTGCTATTGTATGTTGTACCATTGGCATAGTAGATATGTAGTAAATTTAATTGTTTCCCTCCTTCTTCTCAACATGCATTTACAGATGAGGAACTAAAGAGTTCGTCTCTATTTTCTCCGTTTCGTCTCATGCAAATAAGGTTGATTGTGAAAGAGTCTTAACTGTTTTCTCTTTTGATGTGTTTTAAAGGTTTTGCTGCCATTTTATACCTTCTCTAAATGTGTAGTTCGATGTAGAGTTTTTATTTTTCTATTGCAAATAACAAAGAAGACAACCCCAAAAACAGAATACAAAATGTTTTTCACTTTAATTTACACGTCTCAGGCTGCAGTTCAGTTGTGATGAAAGTGGCGTCCCAGAATGCACCACATCCTCCTGCTGCTGAGTTTTGCTGTTAGAGTCGAATGAGGCTTTGATGCACAAGAAGGAACCTTATGATTGATCAAACAAAATGTCTCTTACTACATTTAAGTCTAATTAAAAGTGGGTGGATCTATTTTGGTCTTTTTCAGCGAGCTTCTGTGATTCACTTCTCTTCATCTCACAGGGTTTTTCTATCAGTCGTTGTGAAATGATGGAACATCTTTATGGGTCACTGATTATATTTTAAATAAAATGTCTACTGTAGAATAAAGAATGGATCATCAACAAAAGCAGAAGTCAGAGAAAACCTCACATCTGATATTCTTCTGTGGTCTCTGCATTTCCAAATATCTCTGCATGTTTCACGCCTTTCAAACTGTCTCTTGACACGAAGCGGAATCATTTCTCACAAGCGAGTGTCCGCGTGGACGTGAGGATGGGACACACCTTGTTTGGTGCGTTGGGGCTTTTCTGTGAGTACTTTCTCTGTTTAAATCATAGTTTTCATAGATACAACTTTTTAAATGCCAGAAGTTAATAGTTTCTGTCAGTTTGATGATGTTTCTCACTTTATTTTAGTGCTGAATATTCTCCTCTACTGTGGACACGCTCAAGGTTTCTATACAACTTTCTTTATTTGGATACATCCCTCAAGACAATTAAACACCTTCTATCACTATTTTGCATTTAATATTTCTGTTCTCTTTAGTTAATTTATGATGAATACAAGAAAGAAGACAATATTCATTCTTTGCATGTTGTGTTTGTTTCTAGATGCTTTGCTGCATATTGAGCCAAACTGGTCGCCTTTATTTACTGGAGAGAAAGTTACCTTCGTATGTGACTCAAGGGAAGGAAACGACACTGACTGGAATTACTCATTCAGTCGGAATGATCATTTCTTTACCACCAACAGAACAGTGAATAGATATAAATCATCATCTCTAACTAGAGGAGATAGTGGTGAATATCAGTGTGTTGCTGATCACAAGATCCGTCCTGTTAGAAGAGAAAGTAATAAAGTCTCTCTAAGTGTATCAGGTAAGTGATCAAAGTTTTACCATCACGACAAGTTCATTAAAGCACTTTTAAATTAATGAGACGTGTTGATTTAATAAACCTGTTTGATGAGGTGCTAATGTAATATAATGTGGTGATAATTAATAAATGTTAACTAGTGTGAGAGAAAGTTGACACTGATTGTCAGGGTTGGGTAGGAAAGGCAGGACTCAAACGCAGACTTTAAACAAAAGAGACTTTAATAGTCAAAACTCCAACAAAGTAAAAGGCCAACGGGCAAAAACACACACAGGAACCGGGGGGGAAAAGGCAGGCAGGAACCAGAGACATCCACGACAATAGACAACGACGCGACAAGTAACAAGAGACACAAACGGCTTGAATACACTAGGAAGGTGCAGGTGATTGGACACGGGTGGAAACAATCAGACAATCACAGGGGATGACAGGACAAGGCAGGAAGTGAAGTTACCCAGAGAGACAAGAAGCAGAAAACTACAAAATAAGACAGGAAATAAAACCACACCGTGACACTGATGCTCATTAGCTGATCTTTGTTTAAAAGAATCAATTATTAGATAATATTGATTCATTCATATAAAACAAAAGAAAGTTAAGACAAACCAATCCCATATTTCATTCCCATTCCTAGTCAATTAGTTGATTAATTATTCATAACTGAAATGGATCAAACTCATCAGCAGAGTGTGGCGCCTCCTTCAGGTGAAATGTTCTCATTACTCAGTGAACCTTTTATTATTTATTACAGGGAGACTGACTTTGACATCTTCTGTCTGCAACTTTATGTTAAATTATAATTATGTAGGAATCATAAATCACTGATATCTTGAATCATTGTTCATTTAATGAAACTGATTTAGTAAAGTAAAGAAGTAACTGTTCCACAGACAGAGACGTGATCCTTTAACTCCTGCGTCCTCCTTGTATGAAGGAGAATCAGTGACTCTTCACTGTCGACATGGAGACCAGAGAAAGGAGAAGAATGCTGACATCTACAAAGACAAAACACTTATTGAGATGGACACAAACCATCAACACACACATGAAATCACCATTTCTCTGATGTCTGATGGGAGCTCTTACAAGTGCAGATTTAAGGACAAAGAATCTGAAATAGAATATTTGAAATGTGAGATTAGTTACTATGTTTAAAGACATTGTACCCAAACACCTGTTTAACACATGAAGACAGATAAAAAGATGGAGGACATCAGCAGTGACAGTAATCCACCAAGGACTCATCATAACACGTCTTTATTCTGTCAAACCTCTTTCCAACAGGTGTCCCTCGTCTTGTCCTCACAGTGTCTCCATCATGGACGAGTCCTGGAGACTCAGTGACTCTGACCTGCAGTGTTGAACCTCCGTCTGCAGGATGGAGGTTCTTCTGGTATAAGGCTGTTCCACACCTGCCATACAACTACATCTACACCTATGAGCTTCTAGCTGGTGGCACCACTGGGACTCAACAGGATTCCTACATTCTTCATGGACAGACACACACAGCAGGATATGTGTGCAGAGCTAGAAGAGGAGATCCTGTGTTTTACACGCTGTATAGTGGTGTGAAGTTTGTCTGGTCTGGGGGTGAGTTTGATCAGACTTTTATATTCTTGCACAAGGGAATAAATGTCCTTGTTGTATTGACATTGTTTGTCCTGTGTGTGTCTCCTAATGATGTGTCTTCAGGTGTGAATCCAGCAGCGTCTCTCACAGTGAGTCCTCACAGACTGCAGCACTTCAGCACAGAGTCACTGTCACTGATCTGTGAGGGAAACTCTACTGAGTGGAGAGTGATGAAGGTTGATGAAGATGGTGACAGGTCACCATGTTCTTACTTGGGAAAAATGACTGGATCCACATGCAACACCGACGCTAGAGCGAGTAGTGGAGTGTACTGGTGTGAGTCTGTAACACAGTCCAGCAATGCAGCCAACATCACTATACACAGTGAGTTTATATTCATTTAAAGGTTTTATATCTAAAGTATTTACACATCTTATTACAGAGTGCTGACATTTTTAAGGTGATTTCATGATGAGTTTAACTCATTATTTATTTTAACCAAGAATTCAACAATCTTAAGTTTGTGGCAGTATCATTTCTCTGTATTATCCAACACGTCTTTGTGGTTTACTTTACTCTTTATGACCATTGACATCCACCATTGACGTTAAACCAGGAGGAGCTGTAGAGTTATCTACTCACTTTGTACCTTTTAGACCAGATGTGGGCAAACGTTTAGGCTCAGGGGCCACATTGACGTTATAGTTTGACAGACGGGTCGGGCAGCACCAGATGCAAACATATCAACCATAAACATAAAAGGCTTTACAGTGTTGATACTCACATTGACTTTTAATGGGAACAGTGCAGTCGATCATCCTTCTTTGCCGCTGCATCAAAGTCTGCTGTTAGTTTTGTTGTCAATTCTCAGAACAGATGTGAGGTGTTCATCACTCACTGTGACCTGTGAGGTGCTTTGTTGGTGTTCATCACTAAAAGTCTGTTCACACACGCAGAGACAAACAACAGCAGCATCTTCTGTGCCGTCTGCTGCATGTTTGGAAACTTGGCTTCATTTAATGAAACATAAAACTCACTCAGTGACGTGTTGATTTAATAAACCTGTTTGATGAAGTGCTGATAAAATATAATGTGGTGATAATTAATATATGTTAACTAGTGTGAGAGAAAGTTACACTGATGCTGTTTAATTAGCTGATCTTTGTTTAAAAGGAAAAATTATTAGATAATATTGATTCATTCATATAAAACAAAAGAAAGTTAAGACAAACCATCCCATATTTTATCCCTATTGACAAATTATGAGTAAATTAGTTGATTAATTATTGATAACACAAATGGATCAAACACATCAGCAGAGTGTGGCGCCTCCTTCAGGTGAAATGTTCTCATTACTCAGTGAACCTTTTATTATTTATTACAGGGAGACTGACTTTGACATCTTCTTCTGTCTGCAACTTTATGTTAAATTATAATTATGTAGGAAACATAAATCACTGATATCTTGTATCATTGTTCATTTAATGCAACTGATTTAGTAAAGCAAAGAAGTAACTGTTCCACAGACAGAGATGTGATCCTTTAACTCCTGCGTCCTCCTTGTATGAAGGAGAATCAGTGACTCTTCACTGTCGACATGGAGACCAGAGAAAGGAGAAGAATGCTGACTTCTACAAAGACAAAACACTTATTGAGATGGACACAAACCATCAACACACACATGAAATCACCATTTCTCTGATGTCTGATGGGAGCTCTTACAAGTGCAGATTTAAGGACAAAGAATCTGAAATAGAATATTTGAAATGTGAGATTAGTTACTATGTTTAAAGACATTGTACCCAAACACCTGTTTAACACATGAAGACAGATAAAAAGATGGAGGACATCAGCAGTGACAGTAATCCACCAAGGACTCATCATAACACGTCTTTATTCTGTCAAACCTCTTTTCAACAGATCCTCGTCCTGTCCTCACAGTGTCTCCATCATGGACGAGTCCTGGAGACTCAGTGACTCTGACCTGCAGTGTTGAACCTCCGTCTGCAGGATGGAGGTTCTTCTGGTATAAGGCTGTTCCACAACTGTCACGCTACTCCTACACCCATGAGCTTCTAGCTGGTGGCACCACTGGGACTGAACAGGATTCCTACATTCTTCATGGACAGACACACACAGCAGGATATGCGTGCAGAGCTGGAAGAGGAGATCCTGTGTCTTACACTCAGTATAGTGATGTGGAGTTTGTCTTGTCTGGAGGTGAGTTTGTTCAGACTTTTATTTTCTTGCACAAGGGAATAAATGTCCTGTTTGTGTTGACATTGTTTGTCCTGTGTGTGTCTCCTAATGATGTGTCTTCAGGTGTGAATCCAGCAGCGTCTCTCACAGTGAGTCCTCACAGACTGCAGCACTTCAGCACAGAGTCACTGTCACTGATCTGTGAGGGAAACTCTACTGAGTGGAGAGTGATGAAGGTTGATGAAGATGGTGACAGGTCACCATGTTCTTACTTGGGAAAAATGACTGGATCCACATGCAACACAGACGCTAGAGCGAGTAGTGGAGTGTACTGGTGTGAGTCTGAAACACAGTCCAGCAATGCAGCCAACATCACTATACACAGTGAGTTTATATTCATTTAAAGGTTTTCATATCTAAAGTTTTTACACATCTAATTACAGAGTCCTGACATTTTTAAGGTGACTTCATGATGAGTTTTACTCAATATTTATTTTAACAAACGATTCAACAATCTTAATATTTTCTCTGTATTATCCAACACGTCTTTGTGGTTCACTTTCCTCTTTATGACCATTGACATCCAATGCTCAATATGTCTCCTGACATATTGAGCATTAATTAAAGATGTAACTGTGAGCATGTGTGTCACCAAAGGGCCGTCTCTTCCATCCATGAAATGCAGCTATTCGCTCAGCTACTGTGTGAATGTGAATAACAAATGTAAACTATAATTGTCTTCTCCTCATTGTTCATCAGCTTGTTTGACTTCCTGTCCTCTGGTCTCTTTACAGGTGGTGATGTCATCCTGGTGAGTCCTGTCCGTCCTGTGACTGAGGGACATTCCGTCACTCTTGGCTGCAAGTTGAGGACAGAAAACCTTCTTTATAATGTGGATTTCTATAAAAATGACAAACTCATCCCAAATCCTGTCAGAGGGGAGCTGCTTATCTCTGCAGTTACTAAGTCAGATGAAGGCTTTTATAAATGTAGAGGAAGGAAATCACCTCAAGGTTTGGAGACTTTGACCTCAGCAGAGAGCTGGTTGTCAGTGAAATGTGAGTACGAGTTTTGTAACATGTGTTACAGTCTGAGTGAGAAAAGGTGTCACTGAATTAGAAGTTATCTTAAGATAAACTATTTGTTTGTGTGAGACAATATAGTTTTAAAGATGTTCATGTTCAGTAAAAACACATAATATTAGAGATGTAACATGACCAGCAGTGAAAGGTGAATGTTGTGTGATCAAGGGTTCATGTTTGTGTATTTGAGTGTGTGTGTTGTAGTACTTGTTTAGCACTACAACACATTAGTACCTGTGTTTTTACTAGTTTTACTTTGTTTTAAGTATGTTTTTCTGGCTCTGTGACACTCTGAGATCTGTTGATGAAGAGTGTGTTATAAATAAACTGTATTATTATTGTTACTTGTGTATCTCTTCATGGTTGGTGTGTACTTGTGTGTAGATCCTGAAGAAGCAGCATCAAGCTCTGTGTTTCTCGTGCCGTTGGTTGTTGGTCTGGTTTCTGGAGTTTTACTGATTATTCTCCTGCTGCTGTTTCTGCGTCGCTACAGAAAGTCAGAAGGTGAGATCTTTTCCTTCTGATATCAGACTGATTTCACTGAAATAAGTCAAAGTCACAGATATTATTACACACACTAATTAATGATGAATGTGAAACCTTTTTCTTGCAGCTTCAAGCCTCAGCAGGTTGGTACAAGCCTCTCTTCTCTCACTCTGAACATGGCAGCAGGACTTTACATGTTCCTCATTAAATCCTCTGTATTTTCTTCATGTTTTGGACCCACAAGGTCTCAGAGGACCAATCAGAGCCCAGCTACAGACCACATGATCAACCAGGGCGAAACTCAAGACGGACATTACGCTTCTCTTCTTCATGGTCAGCTTTAATCCTGATTTATTTAATAATGTCTTCTTAACTTTAATGCTAACATTTCCATTTCTGGTTATCTGTTTGAGAAGATTCTATAATTGATACAAAGTGGCTCAAATGATTGATACGACCTCGTCTTTATCCTCACTGCTCTGCAGGTGATTCTTGTCTCTATGAAGCAATCGGAGGCTCTGAAGAACCTGAACATGGTGCAGTAAATCCTGTGTGTTCATCACACAGCTGTTAAAATACTAGAATCAGATGATCAAGTGACTGGTTGACCGTCCTTTAAATTAAAGACAAAGTGTATCGATGATGTCACAGATTCTGTGTTTGAGCTTAAAGACATTGATGGTTGATGTGAATACTTCTATAAGGGAACAAGATGCAGTAGTTGAGATGCTTTTGTAGGCCAGCAGAGCTTTAATAAAGGAGAATAAAGTGTCTCTTCATGAATTCATCTGATCCTTCCAACAGGGACGAATGATGAACCAGAGGAGAGCGATTATGAAAATGTGAGGATGGAAATAGCTGCAGGTACTTCAAGTACAACACACCATGTAGTACAATCTGAGTGTACTTGTGTATTACTACCAGCAGTCAGCAAAGGTCAAACACAACACTTACACCTGTTACTCTTAAATAACCTTTAATCTCTTTTTTCAGATGGATAAAAACATCTGCATGGACAGAACCAGGGGAACGGATGACGACATGAAAAACCACATCTTTGTCTTTTTGAGTAATTATTGTGTGAACTTGTTCTTTCCTGATATGAGACAGTATTTTGTAGTTAACCCATGAAACGATCATTTAAAGGAAAAACGTCTTTAAAATAGTAGATCATTACATATATACTTACATATATACTTATTCAAATGTTGTTTTTTAGTGTTTTCTGTACATATCATTTAATCTCCTCAGTCAGTGTTTTTAAACCTTTTTTGAATGGAGGCTTGTTTGAAAAGCAGAAAAAGCAGTTTGACGTCTTTGAGCTTCAGTACGTTTGTGATATTAATCAATATGAAGTAATCGTTTCTTTTATTTCTGATTTTAAAAAAAAGCTTTTAGGCAGGGCAAGGCAATTTTATTTGTATAGCACTTTTCATACACAAGGCAGACTCAAAGTGCTTCACATTATAACATTTCATAAAATAAAGTGAAATAAAATGCAGGAATTAAAAGACAATT